AGTCAACATCTGAAGTCAGATGGCAAGTCTTTGTTTTATCTTTCCTTTTTGAAAGAACAATAGTTTCAAATGATAGTTCCAGCCTTCTTAGGGAAAGGAAGGCTAGCAACTTGCCAGATGTCTCTGATTAATTTGCCTATGTTCCACCAGACATTCAACATAAGCTCATAATTTTGCTCTGCTGGTGCTGAAGTTTGCTAAACAACGTCTACATAAACAGAAAATTTCATTTCAGTAAAACGTCTGACCTCGAGATTCATGGTTGTCTTGGTGCTCAAGGCAGAGTCTGACATGAACAGAAATGCTATTTGAGCTTTCTCCCCTTCCTTTGTCAGTGACATTCAGTTCTCAGCCTTGAAACACACTGTACCCATTTGTGCCCCTCTATACACATCACAATCTGTGCCATCAGATGGATCAAACCAATGCTGTGTTCTTTTCACACAGGTTTGAGCTTTTAGGATCAGTACTCGGTGAACACTGACGCAATGGGTTAGCTCTATTCAACTCCGCTTGGAAGAAGCCAGGAAGCACCATCATTCTTCCTACCAATCAATAGCGCGTGTCAAAACAAAACAGACTGGTGCCCACATTGGCTTGACTTGGGGCCTTTGATCTTTGTGGAAAGTCTATAAATATTAAGATTGTAGAGGGAAAGAACTGGTTTCAAAGTCAAAAATCTTGGATTCTAATGTTAGCTCTGCAACTCCCCTGCACCTGTTTCCTCACTTTGCCAGTAAGTGGGGTCACATAAAACAACCTCTTAGGTTGTAGCTCTAAAGTCTGCTGATGTTCACCACCATAAATTTAAATCAGAGATCAGGTTGATATACTCTAATGCTCTGACTCATCATGATTTATGATATTTCAAAGAGGCTGAGTACCTATAATAGAAATGGGCCACATGCCCACATAGTTGTTTGCTTCTGAAGATCTAACATGGTCAGTAGGCACAAAGCCAAAGCACTACAAAATGCTATCATACGCTGCAGGTTTAAAGCAGCTTAAGAGTGATTCCACATTGTGCCCACCTCAGTCTGACATGCACACACTCATTTCCTGTGGCTTTGTCCTAAAATCAAACACAGGTCTTATTTTGTCTATAAAGTTTTCCCAAACTTCACTAGGTCATAATTCCCACCTCAGGGGATAGAGGTTATGGTCCCAACACATAATGGAAAACTGCAGTATCCAATACAGTAGCCATTACACATATGTGGCTATTTAATTTTAAAATTCATTAAAATTAGCCCTGGCTGGTGTGGCTCAGTGGATTGAGCGCTGGCCTAAGAACCAAAGGGTTACTGGTTTGATTCCCAGTCAGGGCACGTGCCTGGGCTACCGGCCAGGTCCCCAGCAGGGGGCGTGCAAGAGGCAACCACACATTGATGTTTCTCTTCCTCTACTTTCTTCCTCTCTTCCCCTCATAAATAAATAATATCTTTTAAAAAATAAATCAAATGCATTAAAATTAAAAAGTCAATTGCTCAGTGGCCTTAGGCACATTTCCAGTGCTCAACAGCCACATTTTGCTATTGGCTTCTAAACACAGATTCCAGAATATTTTCAGCATTGCACAGCGTTCTATTGGACAGCAATGAATTATTCTAGAACCTGATCTTAAAAAGTTAACCCTTGAATTCTGCAAAAGACAAATTTCAAGGGTTGCCCACTGCCAGTTGAGCACATACATTCCTCCATATAAAGCAGGGAAATGTAACTATGGATATAGTTTGAGCTGCCCCTTCAGGGTCTACAAGTACAGTTGATAGTACAGGAAAGCGGAGCTGACATGAGCAGGCTGCCTGACAGTTGATGAGGTTCACTTGCTATTTATTTGAGCACAGGGACCTCGGCAAACGCTCAGACTGCTGTGGCATGGGTTTTAGGGTTTCTGATGAATTACTGAATCTGAGTCCTCAAATTCCAAATCTATCCTTCCCCAAAACTGCATTCTCTGGTTTCTTTCTGTCAGTACTTTCTGTCTCCATACTGTGGTTGATTGGAGGAAGGCTAAGACTGCTCTCACCTTCTTGCTCACTGTTTAATATTAATCAGAGACATCCTTTTAGACAAAAAGTCTGAAAAGTCTCTCTAGCTTCTAGATTCAGGATGGAAGAGGGACTTTTCCCAAAATGTAGCTGACACATATTAGTAGGAATGAATTTAGTCATAAATTCAGCCAGGGAAGTTTATAAAAGTTTAAGAAATAAATCATATGAACTTAAAAATAAATGAAGGAACAATTTGATGAATTCTTAAATACTCTACTGTCTGATAGAAGTGCTTGGAAAAGGAGCCAAACCAATGGATACTGACATCATCCTTTTATCAGTGAATGATGCTCCCATCTTTTTAAATGATCTAACTTCTAGAAAATTGTTTCTTACAAAATTTGTCATAGACTGTATAAAAGATATATAAAAATACCCAAAGTTTACTTATGGCTTTTCTCTAAATTTGAAACTATCTGAAAATAGAAAATGACTTGTAATATTGAGCACTTTAAAAAAAAACTGCAAAATTTGAAATCTTTGAACTGATGATGTCACTTGTGTTTAGCCAGTTATTCCAGGGGTAAGAAGAGCGGTATTTTGCAAGAAAATTTGAGGTACAAACTTCACACATGAGGCACAAATCAGTCAATGAAAAAAGAGTGGTTCCCATACTCTAATTAACTTTCAACTTAGAAACACAAGGCCCTATAAAAGCATACAGAGAATATTACGGCATGAATAATCTAGTTCGGTCTCCTTAGGACTTTATCATTAAAGAATCAATTAGCCTCTCTTTATCATGACCTCAACACAGACATGTACCCATTTGGCTTGCTTTTAATGATGATGGGAATCATTGCTAAACCTTATTCAAGAGCTATAATGTCTTTCCTCTCCTGTCTCACTCACTACAGACAGGAGGTTTAGCCCAGGATTTGACTGTGTATAGCTGCTGATTTTTTTTTTTTTTTTGCCTAGTTATAATAGAGTTAGTAAAGAATTACAAAGAAATAAATTTACCTTGGATTGTTCTGCTACCTAATACCAGCAGAATGGTGTTTTGCTTCAACATGGACATAAGGCTTTGGAACAAAATAACTGAACATAATCTTTGTTCAGGAGGAGAAATCTGGTGGAATATGTCAGAAAAGGGTCAAAAAAGGTAAATTCCTATTAAATTCCCTCACACTTCTCCTAAATATACAAGTTCATTGTTATATGAAGAATGTTCTGTGGGTAAATAATATATTGTACTATGTATACATATATAGTAATGTAATGCATAATATTTAATGTTGCTATATGTACATGTATCTCTGATGTGTCAGAAGAGAACACTGGATGATGTTCAAGTTTTGAAAAACAAGCATAAGTTTGTAACATTTATAATTTCTGAATTTGTACCATCAAAAAATTTTATTATTAGAGGATATAAATAAGACCTTTCTAAACCAACTAATAATAAAAAAAAAATCTTGGCTTAAAAACACTCGTCTGAACTATCAGATGTCTTTCAACCACAGAATATTCTAATTAACAATCTAGCATGACTCGTTTCCTTAACAAATATTTATTGATCATTCACTATGTCAAGTACTATCAACGAATTGATGATTTAAACCTCCCTTTATATCTGCTGTCAAAATTAATCATTTATTTGTTTAAGGCAGATGTTTCATGTTGATTTATATTACTTGTGTCAGTAAATAAGTTAAAATTTGTTTTACTTTCACAAATCTTTCATTTTACATGAGAGATCCAGGCTCAGTCAAGATATCATCATGGCAAAATATTTAATTTCAACAAATAAATAAGTCTTATTTTAAAATAATGGGGAAAGGAGACCCTGACTCATGAGGTTTCTAGTCAGTCTTTCTTGGTTAGGAAATTCAAACTTTAGCCAGAACAGAAATGTACACACATGCACACATACAACACATATACAAGAATGCTGTCCTAAATATTTACATGTTCTTTTAAAAATACTTATTTTTAAAATTAATTCTAGCTTTTCATTGTTCCCTCTGCCTGAAATGTCCTTTCTACCTTGTACATGCCTTTCTCTCCTTTGGGTCTCAGTTAAAGGTCACCTCCCCAGTCACACCTCCATGATAATCCCCATTCTGGTGCTTCTTTGCTCCTCTCTCTCCCTAATCCCAGACACCATCCACTCAACATTGGTTTCCACCATATCATTTATCCCAATTAATAATTATACAATATTTACTTACTTTACTATCTCTCCCTGAGAAAGGCACTGTGTCTATTTATTCACTGATATGTACTTAGCATCTAACAGTAGCTGGAAGAAGGTAATATAGTGCTCAATTTGAACTACGGGGTGAATGAATGAATTCATCCCCTTCTGAGGCGCCAGCTTATTCCTTTTTCATAACATTTGCAGACTAAGTTTGGCTATACATATTCATAATTCACTGTAATTTGCCTGCACTTTTAAGTCCACTCTTACAGAAAGAGAGCAGGGTAGCTGTCCTAAAACTAACTCTTCACTCCCTTAGGGTTTTCGAGATAATGGAAATGACTTTCATAAACTCAGTTCCTCAGTTGTACATATCACAAATCAAAGTCCAAGTAAAGCACAATTCCTGCTTTAAAGGAAAGTTCTCCTTAAAGGGAGATCCTTTTGCAAAACAACTATTTTAGAAGTCCCTCCCAGGGATGTCCAACCTTTTGGCGTCTCTGGGCCACACTGGAACAAGAAGGGTTGTCTTGAGCTACACATTAAATACACTGCAACACATAATCACACACACACATAAAAAAAATCTCAATGTTTTAAGTAAATTTACGATTTTGTGTTGGCCCACATTCATAGCCATCCTGAACCACATGTTACCTGCGGGGCCGCAGGTTGGACACCCCTGATGCCAAAATCTGAAAGGGTTAATATGCTCTTTACCATTGAGGAGACTTAATGAATATCACTCAGGTGTTTCATAATATTAAGGCCATCTGAGTCAAAAGAGTGTGGGAACTTCTTACCTGGAGTCCTTTCTGACTCTTGCTTTCTCAAAGGAAAATTCAGGGGGTTTGTTGAGGTCATAGGTTCGTGTGGTTGGCTCAGCAGACACCCCGGCCTTTGCTCCCCTCCTGCTATGGAGAGAGACCAATCCTGAGGTCTTCCGGTGGACCTCCAGAGGCACTTTGTCTGGAGAGGCCTGCATCAGGCTTCCTCCCTGGATGTGCACCACATCCTGAAGCTTATTCAGCTGGATGCACTTGTTCTGGAGCTCCTCTGTGAGCTCTGCAATGGCCACAGTCTGCTTCGAGAGCTGCTCCCGCAGTTCCTTCAGATGATACTCCCGCTCCTGGATCTCGGCATCCTTCCTCCTCAGCTCTCTCTCCAGCTCTGCCACCTTGTTCCGCAGGGCATCGGCAGTGAGGTTCCCCGACTGGCCATCGGGATGCTTGGAATGTTTGGGTTTCACTGAACCATTTCCCATTTTGCTCAAGGACCTAAGAGAGGGCACAGAATTGGGAATTACCCAGAGGAGTTTAAAGTCCCAACAGCCTCCACCACTCCCCTCGTTTCCATCTGTTTCCGAAGTAGAAACATAGGTGTCCTCATTGTTTGATAAGCACTAAATTCCCCTTGTTCCCAGAGGGAACTCTATCGATCTATTTCCTTTATCCCTCCATGAGGAGGAGGAGGAGCTGGCACTTGGTTTCTTTGTACCCTGTCCCTTTGCTGGCAAAAGTATCACACCTGAGACCTGTGCACAAATGGCCTGTGTTGCCTGCTGTCCTCTTTGGTCATTCTCCCCAGACAGCTGTCACAACAGAACTGCGAGGTGGAAGCCAGCATGGCAAAGATAAAACACAAATGAGCAGCTACAGCAGCAGAGGCTTGGAAATGTCACATCTCTCACAGCTCCCTGGGCGGCTACACTAAGAAACCCTCCCGCGTTTAGAAAGTAACACATCTGCATTCTGTGGGAAGAGAAGGCTGAGTTGGTGTTGGTTGCTTTATTAGCACTTTTCTCTGGCTGTATCTGCCTGCTAAGTTTTGGCCTTTCTCTTAAGGTTCCCTGGTAAAAAATAAATTAATTGATAAATTAATAAATTAATTCTGGATTGTGGTTACTAGAAGGTAAAACAGCAATATGGAGATTTTTCTACATCCTTTATATCCTAAAGCCAAGGTTGTCCAAAAATGATGACCTATGGTACAAGGCTCCATTGTTTTCCTGTTAAGAATAGGGACAGTGTAGGTCTCAAAGTGGCCACTTACACAGTGAGTCTTGGGATGTGAAAAGCAGATCAGAATTATGAGGAATTATTTTAGTTGATTGAGAAATATTTTTTTAGTTCAACAGCTATAATTTATTTTAACATTCATTAGGAATATAGATAATGCACACCACAAAGTTGTGGTTTCATTGATATCATCGCTTAACTGGAGGCTAAATTAGGTAATTAGGTTTAGAGTCAATTCAGTGAGAATAGAAAATAAATCATCTGCAGGTAATAGGTATATGTGAGCAAAATCAAAAAGCTGGGGAAATACTACTTTGATTAATTATGATAAGTTTCAGTATTTTTTAAGGCTACCCATTTAAACTTCACACTTTTGCCTGTGCATTTTTTGACAGCCACAATTCAAGGAGCATTACAACACTTATAAACTCAGTTTGAAGTACCTCTCATTATATATCTCACATCTTGCCCTTTTCTCCTCCAAATTTCCAACTCAGAGGGAAATGAATTTCTTAGACTAATTTCACTAGCTCTACCAGAATAATTGTGAGCTCTACAACAATAAAGTCAAAGACATAAAGACGTAAAACAGCCTCTAAGTTTCAAAAAGATGCATCCAAACAGCCAATGCAAGTCGCCTAAGATGGATAATACACATAGAAAATAAAAGTACTTACAAAAGTAACCTTAAAATACTTCGATATTCTTCACAGAAGTCAGATTCAAAGCAGTCATTAATAAATATTAGTTTCCAGAGAATTGTCTTTATATGTTGCAGAGATGTGGCAGGTTTAACCTTTAACTATCTGTCGACTTGGCAGCATTTACTATTCTTAGATATTAAGAATATATAAAAGGCTGAGGAAACTAGAATTCAAAGAGGATACTATAATTCAAGGAAGTAGCCCTGGACACCCTTATATCCCAAATAAGCAATTCACAAGACATGAGATTGTGACCTAAGAATAACCTTGAATGAGATTCTGAATGACAGGCATGAGAAGGGTGCCCCTGAAAGGTATCTGAAATTAATGTGTGCACAAATCTTTAACGTTAGCTGTGAGCCATCTTCCAGACACACATTTTTGGTTCACGGACGAGCACTCCTAAACCAAGGCAGCATAGAAAAGGAATCGCCCTATAAAGAACAAAAGTGAACACAAAAACTTTAAATCCAATATAAAACTAACAACTCATTGTTACTCATCGAACAACTGTTAACTAAGGCCTGCCATGTACTATATCAGGGGCATAGCTCCGTGAACGTGCAATCAAATTTGACACAGAAAACAGCTGTAGAATTCTAAATATGAAAAGGCTTAGAATAATATTTGCTCTATGTAGAGCACTTAAAACATTATATACCAAACTGGTAATTTCACAAACCTGAAGCACAATTAAGTAGAAGATGCTAAATTCTCCCAAAACACCAACTGTTCTCTGGTTTTAATGAAGTCAGTTTGAAGCCTGTATAAATCAAGTTATTTAGAATTCCAAAGAGAGGTGAAATTAGAGTAACTGATCTTTCAAGTCACTAGTTTAAGCTATGTAAGTTACCAAAAGGCTTAATACTAAGTCTGATTTCTTAGTGAGTCCATTTTAATTTTGCTGTTCCTCAAGCCAAGGCTTCGAGTGTCTGGCTTCATAAAACCTAATTGGATTCACTCTGTTTCCTGTATCAGTCACTAAGACAGAGAAGCTATTTCTCAAATATGTATTGCTAGCCACAAGGAGAAATGAACCACAGGATGTTGCTCCATCAATCTAGCAACTACAGGTTATTAGAGTAATTCTTATAATCAGAAGGCAGCATTTAAAGTAATAAGAAATGAGCTTGGAGATAAAGATCAGGATTTAACATGAACAATGAAGGGTAGCTATCCAGGGCAGAAAAACAATCTGCCCTTCCCCAGCTGTGTAATCTTCTAGGAACTACTCCATCAGAATTCTAGGTTTTGTAATCTGGAAAATGGATATAATTCTATTCATCTCAAATGGATTATTAGGAAGGTTTTGTTAGTAAGTCATCACTAGAAGTGTCTGACATGGGGTAAGCACCAAGCAGTTCTACTGTGTGAAGAGACACGGCACTTAGTGTCTTGGTGTGAGAAAATATCCAGAGAGGATCACTGTGGGGTGGGACAGTTGTCTAGTAAACTGGAGGTCTTGATGTGAATTACTCTCCTGGAGAAGGGGGATTTTATTCATTAAGAAAAGAAGTCATTGGGATGGGCTACATACTTTCATTCAAAATAAAATTATCTTTCTTAAAAAAGGAGGACGGAGAGGGAGTGAGGGGAGGAGGAGAAGGAGTTATTCTGGAACAAACAGCCCAGGCAACCTTTTCTTTTTAAGGGAAGCCCGCCAAGAGATGGAGACGTGAAAGCTTCATGAATGACCCAACCCAGGTTCCAGGACTGCAGGGACCCCCTCGTTTGTGATGCCTTCATGTGGCCTCTATTTACACATATTGCAGTAAACTCCTTATTCCAAAAGGACCCACCTAATTATCTTTGAAGGCAACAACAACAAAACATGGTTCACTCGGAAAGCAGTACTTTGCAGCCTGGGGCAGGAGAGAGGAACAGAATGAGAGACAGTATTTAGCAAGAAGAGACTAGATCTATATAAAATTATCAGTTATTATTATATTAATTTCTTCATTATTTAGGGAATGTCATAGATAAGAAAAGACCCAGGAAAAGCAAAACTTACTGTGAAGGCTCCTGCAGGCAGATGAACACCTGGCAGCCAATGTGGGAGGAATTAGGCTTTGTTGTCTGTTTTTCCTCCCATCCTAAACTAGTTGAAAACCAACTCTTGGCTCTGATCTAGAAAATAATCTATTTTTCTCTTTACCCATCTGGAGTCTGATATAAAAATACACATACACACACACACACACACACACATTTATACATATCTGTATATCTGTAAATATGGGACATGGTACTGTGCTGGCTAAGGATACAGAGCCAGACAGAGTCCCAATTCAATCACTTGCACTTAGTATTTATGTGCCCTTGAGCATGATTTTGGGGTTGAGTGTCAATAACGGAAGAGCGAGACATACACAGATAGATCAACAGGCAAAGAGATAAAATATTGATGCATATTATTTAGAGCTGCTAAAGGGTTAAATGAGATAAACCATAATAAGCATTTAGAACAGTGCCTTACATATAGTATATGTTTAATAAATATTAAATTTAATATTATTATTAGTATAACATTATTTAGTTAGTGAAATAATTTATCTTAGTAGAAAAACATGTTGCTCAATATATATGTGCTACACCAACAAAATATTATAGGAGAACAAAGTCAGAGTGCTGGTACTACCATACTTCCAGACTTACTATAAAGCTGACATAATCAAGATAGTGCGGTACTGGTGAAAGAATAGACAAATAGATCAATGGTACAAAGCAGAGAGCCCAGAAATAGGCCCACACAATATAGTCAACTGACCTTTGACAAAGGAACAAAAGGCAAGTCGGCAGAGAAAGGATAGTTCTTTTAACAAATTTATTGAAACAACTAAACATCCCATATGTAAAAAAAAAAAAGAAAGAATCTACTCACAGACGTTATATCGTTCATAAAATTAGCTCGAAATGGATCAAAGACCTAAATGTAAACCACAAAGCTATAAAACTACAAGTAGGCAATACAGGAGAAAATATAAGTGATCTTCATTTGATGACTTTTTTGATAAAACATCAAAAGCACAATCCATGAAAAATTTGGTAAGTTGGACTTCATTAAAATTAAAAATGTCTACACTGCAAAAGACACCATTAAGAGAATGAAACAACAGCCACAGACTGAAAGAAAGTATTTGCAAAACACATATGAAATAAAGGGCTGGGAACCAAAGGACATAAGAACTGAACCCTCAACATGGTGGATACATGTCTTGATACATTTGTCCAAACCCATAGGAAAAAAATAACCAGCTGAAAAATGGGCACAAATATAAACAGGCACCTCACCACAGAAGATACACAGATGGTAAAAATAAGAATATGAAAAAAATGGTTAACATTATATGTAATTAGATAACCTCAAATTAAAACAACTATGAGATACCACTACACACTTATTACAAAGGCCAAAACACTACCAACACCTAATGCTGGAGAGGATGTAGAGCAGCAAGAATTCTCCTTCATGGTTAGTGGGAATGTGAAATGATACAGCCACTTGTGAAGACAGTTTGGCAATTTCTTACGAAGCTAAATAA